CCCTCTCTCCCCCCTCTCTCCCTCTCTCCCCCGTCTCCCTCTCTCTCCCTCTCTCTCCCTCTCTCTCTCTCCCTCCCTCTCTCTCTGTCTTGCATTTTGCACTTTCATTTTTTAATTTTTTTGCAGCTTTATTTTATTTTATTTGCATTAAAAAAAACCACCCCTATTTTTTAGCTTGGAAAAAATGAAAAAGAGACTGAAGCTTCCCTGACTGTTCCCCTGGTCATTTTGGAATTTGATTTTTATTTTATTTTGCCTGAGAGGGGGCGATGCTCAGCTGTGGGGGGCATTGCCCCCCAAATGCCCGCCATAGCTACAGGCCTGAGTGGCAACTGACTTCTGGCAACCCATAGGATTCCCAAGGGAAGAGACAAATACAGGTGACCTGCCATCGCCTGCCAGTGCATAGCCTCCCTGGACTTCCTTGGTGGTCTCCCATCCGAGTACTAACCAGGGTTGATGCTGCTTAGCTTCTGAGATCTGATGGGATCAGGCTAGCCTGGACCATCCAGGTCAGGTGGCTTTACAAGGGGGTTAGGCAGACTCATGGAGGAACAGTCCCTCGATGGCTACTACCCATGGAAACGAAAGGAAAGGTCTATTTTAAAAAAGCCTTGTAAACCCAGAATGTGTTGGTACCACCCGACATCAGCACCATTTTGAATCTGCACACGTGCTCGGCATTTTACTGGCAAGGCTTGGTCTTAAGTCCACGATGACCCAAGACATCTGCTTCCCCCTGCCCTTTAATGATTTTTAATGATTTTGAGAGCCAGTTTGGTGTAGTGGTTAAGTGTGCGGACTCTAATCTGGGAGAACCGGGTTTGATTCCCCGCTCCTCCACTTGCACCTGCTGATGTGACCTTGGGTCAGTCACAAGCTGTGGCACAGCTGTCCTTGAAAAAGAGCAGTTTGTGTCAGAGCTCTCTCAGCCCCACCCACCTCACAAGGGTGTCTGTTGTGGGGAGGGGAAGGGAAAGGAGTTTGTAAGCCGCTCTGAGACTCCCAAGTGAAGGGCGGGGTATAAATCCAATCTCTTCTTCTTCTTTTTCTTCTTTAAATATTTGTAACATCCAGCTTGGTGAAGGGTTCTGCTGAACTCAAAAGCTGACACTCTTATTTTGTGTCATTGTGGCCGGTCCTAGTGAAAGGTGTTCCACGCCTTCTGTCCATGTGTTTTGGATCTTGTCCTGAACCTTTCTGCCACTCGGCCATTTCTTTCTCCCTGAACAGAAGCAATCGACCTCTAAATGCGAGAAGGCAACATCAGGAGAAGGACTCCGCTGGTGGGCCTCTGGAGCAACTTAAAAAAAAATCTGCACAGCTGATCAAATCTCCAGTTGCCAATCCACACCTGGCCCCACCCACTTTGAGAGCCAGTTTGGTATAGTGGTTAAGTGCGCAGACTCTAATCTGGGAGAACCGGGTTTGATTCCCCACTCCTCCACTTGCACCTGGCTGGATGACCTTGGGCAAGCCATAGTTCTGATAAGAGCTGTCCTTGAAAAAAGAACAGTTTCTGTCAGAGCTCTCTCAGCCCCGCCTACCTCACAGGGTGTCTGTTGTGGGGAGGGGAAGGGAAAGGAGTTGGTAAGCTGCTCTGAGACTCCCTTGGGTAGTGAAGGGTGGGGTATAAATCCAATCTCTTCTTCTTTCTCCAAACACTTGGTGGGCACCAGGAAAGGTGTCGGTGGGCACCATGCCCCCCCATAGACACCGCGCTGGGGACCCGTGGTCTAGGACCACAGACTTCAAAATCAGTGCAAACTGAAAACCCTCCACAGTGTGGATACCCTATTCTATTTTCTTGTATTTTTATGGTCTTCAGAAAGCAGAGTGGAGCTGCGGTGGCTCAAGTGGTTAATACGCTGAACTGCAGGCTGTGGAAGGTCGGTAGTTCAGCAGTTCGAGACCCGAGTGTGCCACATGACGGAGTGAGCTCCCGTCTCTAGTTCCAGCTCCTGCCAACCTAGCAGTTCGAAAGCAAGAAATTGCAAGTCGATAAATAGGTACCACTTCGGTGGGTAGGTAACAGCGTTCCATGCGCCTTGGTGTTTAGTCATGCCGGCCACATGACCACGGAAACGTCTTCGGACAGCGCCAGCTCTTTGGCTTGGAAACAGAGATGAGCACCACAACCCTAGAGTCGGATTCGACTGGCTTTCGAGCAAGGGAGACCTTTACCTTTACCTTTTTACAGAAAGCAGATCCTGGAAATGAAGGGCCGCCTTGACTTTTCTTCTTGTCTTCCACATCCAGGTGGGAAAGTCATCGAGGCCACCATGAAGGGCTGCGCCACCAGGCACATTTGCAAGGCAATAGAAGAAAGGCAGGCCTCCCCTCTTAGAGGGTCTGGCTTGTCTCTCAAACATGGCAGCTGCGACCCCTCAGCTTCCGGGGGATCTCAGACCACTGGACTCCTCTTCCCAGCCTTCTCTGGGCTCCTGCTGATGAAGATGACCTTGTGAAAGGGCGCCTGTCTGAGATCCTGTCGCCCGCGCTCAGCCGTATTTTCCCCGTTACCTGAAGAAGACTCTCTCAGAATGCCACATCAGCAGTACATCCAATGCTCTTTTCTTTGCAGTATCCAGGGAAAATAAACACCAGCTATAAAAAGAATCTAACGTATGTCATGTCCAGGTAGAGGAAGACGGGCTTGTGTGTGTTTCAAGAGCTATCAAGTTGCCTTCGACTTATGACAACCCGATCAATTAATGGCCTCCCAAACATCCTCTTGTGAACAGTCTCGCTCAGCAAACTGGGCGTTTTGGCTCCCCTGATCGAGTCAACATGTTGGGTCTTCCTCTTTCCCAGCTGCCTTCAACTTTTCTTTGCGTTATTGTCTTTCCCAATGATTCTTGTCTTCTCGCCTTCCCAGGGCTTTTTTTGTAGAAAAAGCCCAGCAGGAACTCATTAGCATATTAGGCCACACCCAATAGCAGAAACTCATTAGCATATTAGGCCACACCCCTGACAGCACCGCTCATTAGCATATTAGGCCGCACCCCCATGTTGCCAGAAGTGTGGTCATCCAGCCACACCCACCTTTTGCTTCTTATTCTGTTGACCTTGCTTGTGGTCCAACCAGGGCCTTTTTTCGTAGCAGGGACTCCTTTGCATGTTAGGCCACACGCCCCTAATGTAGCTAATCCTAATGAGTTTCTGCTGTTGGGTGTGGCCTATTATGCTAATGAGTTCCTGCTGGGCGTGGCCAACTCGGGAGCCAGGCGGAACTCCGTTCCTGTGCGTTCCTGCCCAAAAATAGCCCTGTGCCTTCCTATAATGTCACCTAAATATGATAGCCTCTGTTTGGTCATTTTAGCTTCTGGGAAGGGTCCAGGCTTGATTTGTTCTAGAACTCCTTTGTCTTTCTGATGGACCACTGTATCTGTAAAACTTCCCCCCCCCAGCACCGCACTTCAAATGAATCAACCTTCTTCCTGTCAGCTTTCTTCATGGCCCAACTTTCATACACTCATACATTGTAATGAGGAATCTCTCTCTGTGTTTTTCTCTCGAACCCACAGAGAGCCAGTTTGGTGCCGTGGTTAAGAGTGCGGACTCTAATCTGGGAGAACCGGGTTTGATTCCCCCACTCCTCCACCTGCAGCTGCTGGCGTGATCTTGGGTCAGTCGCAAGTTCTCTCAGAGCTGTTCTCTCATGAGCAGTTCACGAAAGAGCCCCACCTGCCTCACAGGATGTCTGTTGTGGGGAGGGGAAGTGAAAGGAGATTGCGAGCCGCTCTGAGACTCCTTTGGGTAGTAAAGGGTGGGATATAAATGCAATCTCCCCCCCCCTACATTAGGGACATTTAGCTGGATCTTTACTGCCCGTGTGCCTTGGTGTTTAGTCATGCCAGCCACATGACCACGGAAACGTCTTTGGCAGTGCTGGCTCTTTGGCTTTGAAACGGAGATGAGCACCGCAACCCTGGAATCGGATTCGACTGGCTTTCGAGCAAGGGAACCTTTACCTTACTGGCCAAGGTCCAACTTGAAAGTTGCCTCATATGTCCCATGAACAGGACACAGAGGCCAAGGCCTTCCCAGATGTCACCTGCTAGCTGTGGTATTCAGAGACTGACTTAGGGTTATTGCTATGGTGGGAGGCCTCCTGCTGATGGGTCAGCCCTGAAGTGACAATGAGCAGCTCTAGAAATCTCTGGAAACTCTATGGTTTTATGGGTATCACATGCCTCACCCACCCCCCATGTCCCTGCCCCGAACCCTCCTGCTGGTTGCCAGTCTCGGCCTAGGGATCCTGTGCTCCCTGCCCATGGACATGGAAGCCCTCTTTAGACTAGACATTGTGGCCAGTAGCTCCTGATGGCTCTCTCCTCCTCCTTGAATCCCTCCAGTCCCTTTTAAAGCCATCAGTGCTTGTGGTGATCATGACATCTGGTTAGGGTTGCCAGGCCCTGCCTTGTCGCTGGTGGGGGGGGATGCGGAGGGCATTCCAGAGGGGACATCGTGTGACATCCTGATATATCGTGTGACATTGCTGATATAATTCAGGGCTCTTTTTGTAGCGGGAACTCCTTTGCATATTAGGCCACACACCCCTAATGTAGCCAATCCTCCAAGGGCTTACAGACCTCTTCTGACAGGAGCTACTGTAAGCTCTGGGAGGATTGGCTACATGAGGGGTGTGTCACCTAATATGCAAAGGAGTCCCTGCTACGAAAAGGAGCCCTGGGTGACACACCCCTAATGTAGCCAATCCTCCAAGACTTTACAGAACTCTTCTTACAGTGGCTACTGTAAGCTCTCGGAGGATTGGCTACATGAGGGGTGTGTCGCTTAATATGCAAGTGAGTACCTGCTACAAAAAGAGCCCTCACCCAGAAGTGACGTCGTCATGTTGGCAACGTCACACAGTGAAGCTCTGTTTTGAGGGCAGAACACCCTGGTTTGAGGGCAAATGCACCATCGAGTGTTACCCTCAAACCAGAGCGCCCCCCCCCGCGAGACGTCACCGACGTGATGACATTGTTTCCGGGTGACATCATCACATTGGGGACGTCACCTGGGGATGTGGCTGTTTGGGGGCAGGGGCCAGAAGCCCCGGAAACTTGGGGAACCCCCACCAGGACCTGGGGACTGGCAAACCTACATCCGTTGTCAGGGGATTTCACAGTTCTATTTACTTAATTACTTTGTTTATGCCTGCCTTTCTCCCTAACAGCAAAAGTCTGACATCCAGGGGTCATTTTCTGCAGGAGCGCACAGGAGCGGAGCTCCGGCAGTAAGGAGCTCAGGGGGCGGGCACATGCAACAAGCCCCACCCCCTGCTCCCAGCAGCCCTCAGTTGGGCCATGAGGAGCAAGAAGTGGCCCACCTTCAGGTACAAGCTCTCCCTCCTCTGTGAGGGCAGATCTGCGCATCCCCCCCCCATAGCTAGCAATCTAAAACAGTCCAGTGACACCTTTAAGACCAAGTTTTGTTCTAGTACAAGATCTCCCTCCTCTGCGAGGACAGATCTGCACGTCCCCCTCCCCAATAGCTAGCAATCCAAAAGAGTCCAGTGGAGCCTGAGCGGTGGGTGTTGCCTTCTGACACACTTCTGGTGATGTCAGGGGGTGTGGCATATTCAAATGAGTTATGCTAATGAGCTCCTGCACCTCTTTTTTTACGAAATGACCCCTGCTTACATCATTCTCCTTGCCTCCATTTTATCTGTGCCGTGATACTATGAGATCATGTGACTGGCCCAAGGCCAACCAGCTGGCTTCCATGGCAGAACAGGGATTCCCACCTTTCCCTGGTCCTTGTTAGGGCTGCCAACTCCTAGTTACAAAATTCCTGGAGATCAGGGGTTGGAGCCTGGGGAGAAGAAGAAGAGATTAGATTTATACTCTGCCCTTCACTTGGAGTCTCAGAGCGGCTTACAAACTCCTTTCCCTTCCCCTCCCCACAACAGACACCCTGTGAGGTGGGTGGGACTGAGAGAGCTCTGAGAGAAACTGCTCTTTTTCAAGGACGGCTGTGCCAGAGCTTGTGACTGACCCAAGGTCACATCAGCAGGTGCAAGTGGAGGAGTGGGGAATCAAACCCGGTTCTCCCAGATTAGAGTCCGCACACTTCACCACTACACCAAACTGGGGAAGGGAGGGACCTCAGCTGAGGGACTTCATAGAGGCCACCTTCCAAAGCAGCCACTTTCTCCAGGGCAACCCATCTCTGTAGTCTGGAGACCAGCTAGAATCCCAGGAGCTCTCCAGTCCATACCTGGCTGTTCTAATCTAATCGCCTGAGCTAAATGCTGTATGCTTTTTTAACAATATTCAAATAACAAGTCGAAGTGGTTTTTGTATTATGAAACGTTTGTAAGTCTTCTAATATCCAATTTTCTGTTGTTTCATACATACACGATAGGGAAAAAATACAATAACATAAACCAATCGCAAGATAGAAACCTCATGGATAACAAGACTGGGGTGTGTATTTACAGAGTGACCAAAGTGTGGGTGAAAGGTCCATTTAAAAAACAATAAAGATAGAAACCTTGAACCGGACCAATATTTTCAAAAGGCGTGGAACATCCACCAAATGCCGAAATGAGCTTGGCAAGCCCTGTTTGGTGTAGGGGTTAGGAGCACAGACTCTAATCGGGAAGAACTGAGTTTGACTCTCCACTCCTCCATATGCAGCTGCTGGCGTGACCTTGGGTCAGTCACAAGTTCTCTCAGAGCTGTTCTCTCACAAAGGGAAAGGAGATTGTAAGCTGCTCTGAGACTCCTTCGGGTAGTGAAGGGCAGGGTATAAATCCAATCTCCTCCTCCTCCTTCTCCTCTTCTTCTTCTCTTCCTCCTCCTCCTCCTCCTCCTTCTTCTCCACAATATGTCAACATAGGTGTGGCAATCCTTAAACTCTTTAAATTGAACTACTACTTTGAACTATTACTAACACAGATCCCAGATAGTCTCAAATATTCAAATATCTGAATATTTATTGTTTAAAAATGCATACAGCACTTTGCTTAGGCTATTAGACTAGATTCTCGGGTCTGTATTCTTTTTCTGTTAACATACCTGGCTGTTGTCCACCCTAATCCTCATCGAACACTCTTAACTGCCGCACTACAGTGCCTGATTATTGCTATGGTGGGTAGATAGCTGCTGTTGGTGCACACCCGGAATTTCCTACATTGCTGGGCTTATGCGCCCCAAGGTCATCACAGGATCAGCCACACACACTGAGCGTGTGCACTTCTTTTGCGCCTGCACAATCAGCAGCATTGATCAGTTGATGGGAGTCAACTTACCGGCGCATGCTTGGAATTCCCTGCATCATCTACAGTTTGCGCGTAATGAGAACGGTGCACAGTATTTGAGAGGCCTCGATGAACATGCTCGAGAGACCAGCAGACAGAAGAGGGCGAGGCTGGAAGACATGCAGTTCTCCAGGACACCGCAAGGGGGGGAGGGAGCGAGATAACCCAGAAAAGCGCTTCATTTGTAATTTTTCC